TTGTTGTATGTATTTGCCTATGAAAAGATCGAAGACACCTGAGGCGCCACACACGGTGACGGTAACCAAAAACCACAACCGTACTCGGCATCGCGACAGACATGCTTTCGCACAAAAGATCCCTTTGGACCCCTTTTCAACTGCTTGAGATCATCTTTCTATTGATGCACCATCGTTCCTTCAAGAAGGAGAGAGAGAGAGAGAGCTCGAGGAATAATCTCGGACGCGATAATGGCGATGGAGCGAGACATAAGGAATTTCTTCGACGGCGCATTTCACTTGTGTTGTGCATAGTTATATATATTCTCTCCGTTAAAAAACAAACTTGTATACTGAACGCTTGGAATTCAATTTTACCGCATTGATAATACTCATCTTACAAAAATTTATTTTTATTCAATCTAAATATGTATATGGAGAATAATAATGAAAACAAATTCCGCGCAGAGTCTTCTTAACAAACAAAAGGTGTATGCATGAGTCATCATTGTTACCTATAAGAACTTCATTAGTTCCAATTCTTAGTGCAGGTCTGTTTTAAATCGAATTTTAAAAAAATGAATTTCTACTCAATCAAAGTTTTAGCACAAAAATTTTCCTGAAATTCAGACTCTGCACTCGATAATTAATTTTAAAAAAGTATCAAAAAAGTAGCTATCGAAAAATTAAACTTGACGACTAAAAAACTCGTTTTAGCCACTTCACAAAACTGACAAAAATTCCATTCTATAATTTAATGTCCTGACTTTTTCCTAATTTTCATCAATAATATTTACTTCCTTCTTATTCTATACTAATAAATTGAATTCCTGCAACGAATTTTATTACTCATGATTCATGAAAGAATTTAAATATTTATAAAATAATTTAATTCTTGCAAAGAATTTTATTAAAATTTTTAAATATAATTCATTTCTTTCGACTAATTTTATGCAAATTCTAATTTAAATAATTGAATTCCTGAGAAATTTTTATTATTCGTGAAAAGAATTGAACTCTTACGAAAATTTTTACGAAATTTTTTTTTAAAATTGAATTCTGTTTGGAAATTTTATGAATGTAGTAGATATTGAAAATCAATAAATGGCGAAAAGTTTTTAAAAATAATTAAATTTTATAAAGAATCCTTTAAAAACTTTTGACAATATACTTGAATGTCTGTGTGGGTATTTTATTAAATTTTATTGAAAATAATTGAATTTCCAAAAATTAATTTATTACTTTTAAAAATAATTAAATAATTCTTGTGATGAATATTGTTATTTATGAAAATAATTGAATTTTGCAAAGAATTTCATTAAAATGCCTCAGAATAATGGAATTTTCGGTAATAACTTTGTTCTTTTTCGAAATAATTGAATTCTTGGGAATAATTTGATTAAAATTTAAAAAAAAAATTGAATTATTTTTAAAAAAATTAATTAAAATTGTATTTAAAATAATTGATTTTTTTTAAACAATTTTATTAAAATATTTGAAAATAATTGAATTCTTGTGAAAAATTCTAATATTTTTGTAAATAATTGATTTCTTTGAGGAATTCAAATAAAATTTTTAAGAATAATTACATTTGTTTTTAGCAATTCCTGTAAAATTGTATTAAAAATAATTAAAAATCCTGCGATGAATTTCATTATTTATGAAAATAATTAAATAGAATAGAATTTTAAAAAGATTGTTTTAAATAATTAATTTTTTCGAAATATAATAAATATTATGAGCATTTTATTTTAAATAATTGAATTCTCGTGGAAAACTTTATTTGTGAAAATAATTAAATTTTTCGATTAACTATGTTAAAATATTATTAAAAATAATTGAAATTCTTCGTTGAGTTTTACTATTTATGAAAATAATTGAATTCTTGCTTCGAATTTTATCAAAAATTTTTTTAAAAAATTGAATTTCCATGAAAAATGTTATTATTAGTGAAAGCAATTGAATTATTGTGAAGAATTGTATAAAAATTTTGTTAAATAATAATTGAATTCCTGTGAAAATTTTATTATTTATGAATATAATTGAATTTTGGATGAATTTTATCAACATGATTTTAAATAATTGAATTCTTTTGCGCAAAATTTGATGAAAATATTAGATATCAAAAATAATTGAATTTCGAATATTTATTGAAAATAATTGAATCGTTTTAAAGAATTTGATTATAATTTTTGAGAATAGTTTTTTGATTTCTAGTATAAGCAAATTTAAAGTAGTGGAAATTCTATAAAAAACAGAAATAGTAGCTTTTAGTGGCTGAAAATTAAAAAAATTACCCAAATAGTATTAACCATAAGAATTTTTTGCATTTCCTTTTCTTTGTTACGAAAATATTCGAAAGCTCCAAAAGTCAGTCGATATATATATAGCTATCGAAGAAGATTTTCACATGATGTCATTGAACTGTAACACAATGAAGAGAGAGTTGTGTATTTTTCAAACCGATCTACAAAGATCTGAACCAATCAATTTTCGGTTTTCTATTGCCGAATGAAGAAAAAAAGTTCAACTCTATAGTATAACGTCATCATACAAGTTGTATATCTATGTATAAAAATATAAAAGGAGTGTCATTCAATTTTTTTTCCTTCGTCCCTTCGCACTTTTGATGGATCGGATATATTCGTCTGCGATTAACTGACAGTAATAAGTTTATACGTATCCAACAATCTTCAATATAAGTATATACATGTATATAAAATTTAGGGATCCGTGGGCGGTGAACCGTGAAGGCAAACGTGGTAAAATGCTGATGGTCTCTAAATAGTTTGATGAATCAGAAATTTCCATACGTAATTGCAGCGATTATGTCTTCGTGCAACTGGTGTTACTACATATACATATATATGTATATATTTCGACCCCCCTGATGGATTTCCCTCTTATATTTATACCCACATTGCAGTCTAATTAGTTATATAAATTTCGAAAGAGTTCTTTTTTAAAAAAATTCTTGTAAATTCGTCAGAAAAAAAATTAAATAATTGTCTATAATTATAAATAAGTTTTTAAGTCAAAATTTACATTTTTTTATTACTTACTAATTTAGCATTTTCTCCCTTTTTTCCTTTTTTGGTATTGTTTTTATTGTGTTATTTTTTTTGTTCCTTCTTTGTAATTTTTTGGTCCTTCTTTTGCTTCTTTTCTAATTTTATGCAACGTTATCAGGATTGCCACAAACTAAAATTCTTCTTTCAGTCAATTATTTTTAATAATTTTTGAAAAAGTTCTTTGAGAATTTTTAAATTCCTTTGTTTACAATTCAATTTTACGAAATTTCTATTATTTGGAAATTCTTCAATTAAATGTATATAGAAAATAAAAACTTCAAATATGTAATTTAAAAAAAAAAATCAATTAAACTTTCCCAAAAAAATTATTTCTACAGAATTGTTGCTTAAAAAGTATGAAAATTTTTAATGATTTCAATTTCAAACCTTTTCAAAGTTTAATTATTTTTCAAAATTCATTTTAAAATCAATTTTTATTTGAAAATTTTAAAAGAATTAAATTATTTAAATAAAAAAATGAATAATTTATTGAATAATTGAATGTTTGTTAAAATTGAATTCTCATAAAGAATTTTATAAACAAATTTTTAAATAATTGATTTCTTTTGACAAATTTTAATAAAATTTTTAAGAATAATATGTAATTAAATTTCAGAGAATTTTATTATTTATAAAGATACTTGAAATTTTGACAAGAATTTCTGTTAAGAATTTTATTATTTATATAAATAATAATTGAATTCTGACAACGAATTTTATTCAAGTTTATAAAAATAATTGAATTTCCGTGAAGAATTTTATTATTTATAAAAATAATTGAATTCTTGAAAAGAACTTTGTTAAATTTGTTTAAATAATTGAATTCTTGGGACGAATTTTATGAAAAATCTTTTTAAATAATTGATATTTTTCGAAAAAATTTATGAAATTTTGCATTTTAAATGATTGAATCCCTGTGAAAATTTTATTGCTTATAAAAACAATTGAATTATTTCGGAGAAATTTATTAAAAATTTTGTAACAAATTGAATTCCTGTGAAATTTTGCCAAGAATTTTATTAAAATTTTTAAAAATAATTGAATTTCTATAAAAATTTTATTATTTATAAAGATAATTGAAATTTTGAAGAGAATTTTTTTTAAATTTTTGAACATATAATTGGAATTCTGCAAAGATTTTTTTTAAAAGTTTTTATAACTTTTGAAAATAATTGAATTTCTGGAATCATTTGTAACTTTTCCAAAATTCAATTTTGATTAGTTTTTTTAACTAAAATTCTTCTATCAATCTAGTATTTATGAAAGTTGTAAAAATTATTCATGAAATAATTTATAAGTCATAATTTTATGATAGTTCTTAAAAAATTAAGTTATTTAAAAAGAAATTATTGTCATAAATAAAAAAAAATTCAAGGTTTTGTATTAAAATTCGTGATAATTTCATAGTTTACGAGGCAAACAAAAAAAACATCAATTCTACGAGAATTCAATTATTTAAATACAAAAATAAATAATTTGTTGAATAATTTAATGTGTCTTAAAATTGAATTCTCATAAAGAATTTTATCAACAAATTTTTAAATAATTGATTTCTTTTGACGATTTTTAATAAAAATTTTAAGATCAATGCCATTTTTCGAGAAATTCGATTAAAATTGTATTAAAAATAATTGAAATTCTGCGATGACTTTTATTACTTATGAAAATAATTGAATTCCTAAAAATAATTTTATCATAATATATGAAAATAATTGAATTATTATGAAAAAAAAACTTTGTTAATAATTGAATTCATGCGAAATTGTTATTATTTATTGATGAAAATAATTAAATATTTGAGTCGAATTTTATCAAAATTTTTATTAAATATTCATACTCGTCAAAAAATAACTATTTTCTCTCTATATATATAACATTATTAAATGTTTCCGCTTTTATTTATTTTTGAATACATTTTTATTAATACTGCAAAGTGTAAATTTTTACTAGTGGTTTTTAAATTCAACATTTATGGATGTAATGGAGTGTTCGAGCTTTTAAAGTGAGCATAAATTACACATGTCTGAGGTATTTACGACATATGGAGGAAAAGGGGTAACGTGACAATAACGACGACTATCAACAGTATGGTACTAAATTGCACTTTATGGAATCTGATAAATTGACAATTATTTTGTCTCGATCAATAGAAATATTCAATTGTCGAAAAAATTCACCGTATCTCTGAAAACGTTATAAAAAAAAACGTTTTGCATTCATCATCGCCTCAAAATTAAATTAATAATGAGGTATTTAAATTCAATATTTGATTCTTTCAAGAAAACTATGATATTTTCAATGAATTCAAAGTTAGAGAGTAGATAAAATTTTTTCTTTATTAGATAAAATTATTTTTTTTCATTAAATAAATATTTTTCTTTATTGGACGATTAATTATTTTTTCTTTATTAGAAGAAAAATAAAAAAATATTCTTTAACGTCATTTAATGTAATGAATATAAATTGTAGAAAAAATTTACTAAATTTCTTTTTTTCAAGGAGGGACACTATCGTAATTGAGAGCGACAGAGCACCGTGGCATATCTTGAAAAATCTACCCCATTTCAGTTCGAGCAGTGAGAGAGAAGATAATTATTACGAGTTTGGGCTGATGGAAAGAGTATATATATATATATGAAGATCTCTCAAACGTTAATCTAATGATTCACCTCTTAATGTCGCATCGTCTCTCATTTATTAACCCTCAACTTAAATTAATATGTATACACGAATTTCAGAACTAACTCGATTCTCACTCATCATTATTATATTGAACGTGTCAACGTTGGGAAAAAGGAGAAATAATTATAAAACTCCTAGTATAAATTGATGATAACGAGAATAATATGTCAAACAAACAATTTTCTCCGTTAAATAATATTAACTACTTGATCAATTAATTTAATAAATAAATACTGAGAAAATGAAGTATAAATAAAAATTAATACAGATTAGATAAACTTTTAAAGTTTCGAAGATTGGAAATTAAGGTCGACAGTAACTTTAAAGAGGAAAAAAATTGAAAATTCCATTTTCTTAATTCTTAATTAAGAGGTCAATAAACTTGGTTCGAAATAAATATAAGAATGAACATTTTTATGGAACTTTGATTCAAATAAATGGTATAGAATTAAAATTGAAAGTTCTTTATAATTATCTTTTAATTTTTAAAAATCTTCAATCTTTCTACAGGCTTTGTACTCAATGTTTTCAAAATTTCTAAAGTAAATTAAATTCAAAAAGAATTTTTTTTAAATAAATATTTAAATACATATATTTATTTTTCCACATAAATTAAAATATTTAAAATAATTTCAATGTAAACCTTTTCTGAAATTTAACTACTTCTAAAAATCACAAATGTAATTGTTCCAAAAATCAATCATATTTTTGTTGAAATTTTTAAATAAAATTCTTCAAAACTTTAATAAAATATTTTTTCAAAATAAAAATTAAAATAGCATTACAGTTTTAAAACAGTTAAAATTTTCAAAGATTTCAATTTAAAAATCTTTTGAAATTCAATTATTTCTAAAAATTCTCTCTATAATGTTTTTAATATTCAATTATTTTCTAAAATTTTAACTATAATTCATTTTTAAATCAATTCTTATTAGCAACTTCTACGAGAATTCAATTATTTAAATACAAAAATAAATAATTTAATGAATAATTTAATTATATTTCTTAAAATTGAATTTATATAAAGAATTTTATCGACAAATTTTTAAATAATTGAATGCATTCGAAGATCTTCACAAAATTTTCAAAAATAATTGCATTTTTCAAAGAATACATTTAAAATTATATTTAAATAATTGAAATTAAATTTAATTTAATTTATTGAATAATAGAATTCCTCTGAAAATTTTATTATTTATGAAAATAATAGATAAAAATAATAAAAAAAAATAAAAATTCTAAATATACCTACTAATTTAATTGTTTCGAAAAAAATTTAAGTTCGTACAAGCAATTTAATTAAAATTGTACTAAAAATAATTGAATTCTTCTTAAGAATTTATCGGAATTTTGATAAATAAATGAATTCTATCAACAAATTTTTTAAAACTTTTTAAAAATAATTAAATCTCAAAAAGAAATTTTATTCAAATTGTATTGAAAATAATTGAATTTTTTTGAAGAGTTGTATATAAGTTATCAAAATATGTCATTTAATTCTTGCTACAAATTTTATTACAATTTTTTTTTGGAAATAATTGATTTCTTTTGAAATATTTTATTGAAATAATACGTATTGAAAATAATTGATGTTTGACAAATTTTTGAAATTATTTAAATCTTTACGAAGAGTTTTATGAAAATTTTTTGAAAATAATTGAATTGTTACAAAGAACAATTTCATTAAAATTTTTGAAAATATTTAAATTCTTTCAAGAAATTTGATTAAAAATGTATTGAAAATAATTACCTACTAAATTCTAAAAAAAAAAAATTAAATATCAACATTTTTTAAAATAATAATTGAATTATTGTGTACAATTTTAATAAAAATTTTTAGAATAATTGCATTTTTCGAGGAAGTCATTTAAAATTGTATAGAAAATAATTGAAATCTTGCGGTGATTTTTATTACTCATGAAAATAATTGAATATTTGCAACAAATTTTAAACATTTTTTTAAAATAATTCAATTTTATTGTTATTTTATTATTACCTAATTATAGTTAATTAATATTTCATAATTTATTAAATTTTTAAAATTAATTGAACCCTAGCGAAGAATTTTATAAAAATCTTTTTAAATAATTGAATTCTTTTAGAAAATTTTTTATTAAAATATTGGATATATTGAAAATAATTGAATCGTTTGAAAGAATTTTATTTAATTTTTTTTAATTGCTTCTAAGAATTTTATTTAAAATTTTAATTTTTGAGAATAATTTTTTTATTCTAACTTTTCGCGAATTTAAACTAATGCAAATTCTCAATCATATAAAATAGTTGCTCTTAGTGTCAAAAATCTAAAAAATGTATCCAAATAGTAGCAAATGGTTAAAAAAAAAAGTAGTAAATAGTCCGCTTTACTAAATGAGTACAAAGCTTGTTTTTAAGTATAAATTTCTTCTAAAATAAAAGAATTATTTTTTCTAAGAGAGCAATCCGAGTAGTTAGCGCCTTGAAAAAATAATAAAAATCTCCTTGAGAGGAAGAAAGGATTTTTCTTTATTGTCGTTGTTGAAAAGATTGAGCAGCAGTCTTCATTGTTTTCTTTTTCTTCTCGAGTGTCATTTAAAAGTGGTCTGCGAAAGGGTGATCAAAAAGTGGCACCGACAATGAGGAAGAAGAACGAAGCTCATAATTTTAGGCCCCTTTAAACATAACAAAGTGTCCTTCGATACAGTTTCGACACGGCAGTTAAACAAATTAAAGCGGGCTCTCGTGAATATATTCTCCACGCCGAGTGGATTCACAAAACTTTTTATTTAGGGGTTTTCAATTTTTCAACATATGGCAAACAATGCATTTCAGAAGCGCCATCCTAATTATACAATTTCATATGTGTAGTCTCTGTCATGAATGTTCAATTTATTTACTTAGAATAATAAAAATGATCTTGATATGAATAAAAAAAATAGGAAAAAAAGTAAAAAAGTAGGGGAAAGGTGTACGAGATGATCCCCCTAAGGGAGAATGACCATTATTCAAAGAAAAATCAGCATTTTTGAGTTTGTTTTGTACGAACTAGTAGATAATTAATCCATCTAACTTTTCTGATTAGAAATGTATACAGCTAATTAGTATTTTACAAGTAAATTTAATTTTTCTAAAACCTTACAAAAGGATCATCTTGGACACCGCGGGGTGTCCAAGATGATCCCCCTGGCATGGGCAAGATGATCCGTAGGTTTATCTTACCCCAATTATTGGAAAAGGAGACTAAATTGAAGAAATAACATATATTAATATTAAATATGCTTTATTTAGGTTATAAATGCCTTTGAACACTCACTAAGATTCATTTTTCGATTTTATAATTACGAGGCATTGTCTACAACAAGAAAATTAATAAAAATAGATGTAGATTTCAACTTTTTGTTTTAAATAAGTTAGTTTTGATAATAAAAACATATAAGAAGAGAGAAAAATTGAATTTTTTATTACACCCATTGAGGGATCATCTTGCCCCAAATGCCATTATTTTGTAATTTGTTCGTAACTTAACCTACGAGCTCTGTTATTCCATAATACCAATCAGAACACTTAATTGAAGATATACTGAAGCTGTGAGTACAAGAAAAATGGAATTTCAGCTGCTACAACAAAAGTTATCTAAGTACAAAGTTAAGCTTTCCTTAGATCAAAAGTATGAAATTTTTATTTTTTACAGTAGAATTTTTTTAATGACGCGTGTTGTCATGACAGTTTGACTGATTCATAGGTATGTCATTGACAACGTATTACCGCATTTGCCTAAAAGATTACGCTAATAGGCTCTCCAAAATTTAAAAGGATCATCTTGCCCCAGGTGATCATCTCGTTCCCCATTTCCTCTACACGGCACTAAATTTTCGTAAATTCACAAAAAAAATGTTAATTAAAATAGAATATATAAATTACAACCGAATCTTAATTTTCAATTTTAGAGAATTATTAGCCAAAGAAAGGCAAATTTTATAAATTAGTTATTTTTCTTTGCTACGTATGTATTCTCAAGTAAATAAAAAACAGATTAAAGTTCAAAGTGAATAAATTGCGGGGAAAAAAATAATTTTCCCGTTTGAAAATCACTTCGTAGACTCTTTGAATTTTCTGCATGACTATATACTTATAACTGTCTGACTAGATAAATCAATCACAGGTCGAGGCTAAAAAAGAAAACAACTAACGTGAATAGTAGTGGACGACGAATAAGTCTCTGTTTAATAAGTGGGTTGTCAATACTCATAAAATTATGAGATTGTTTACCATAAAGTTAACAACCTGTTTGCGAACAATATTATGCTACAAAGAATGTTATTCTAAAGCAGTTGTTTCGAGCAAAAATATTTAGTAATACGACTGACTGCAAAGTGTTAATAAGTGCTTTAATCTTGAAACAATATTTTATATTTATTAGATGAGAAAAAAATTATTAAATTCCTTTCTTAAAAAATTTATTTTTTTATTTATTTATTCTTTATTCACTATTTTTTCCTTACTCTTTATTCACTTCATATTAAATTATCCATATAAAATTTACTTATGAAATTTAATCTATCAAATAAAAAAATATGAACTTTTCAAAAATAATTTCATTCATTTGTTTTCTTTTCTATGTTTGGAGTCAAGAGCAGAGAAAATTAATATTTCCCACAAGAAACGATGCCCAAAGTAAGTAACGCAAATTAGAAATACTTTTCCAAAACACTTTTTAGCAAATATTTAAAAATAAACTTTCGAGATCAAAGATTTTAAGAGCACTTATTATTTAGAATCCTTAACATTTACGCATGACACAAAGTATGAACAAAATTTATATTCGAACAATTCTTTCTTCAGTAGAATACACAGCTTTTATGACAGTTATTACTTATTATTAATTTTATTTAATAATATAAATAAGAATTAACAACATTTTTAATTATTATATTTAAGACACTATAAAGTAACACTATTTTATAACATTATTAATTATTACGTTCATTATAATTATTAAATATTAGATTTATAATATCGTTAATTATTGCATTTGCAGTATTATAATTTATCACACTTATAATACTATTAATTAGTATATTCATACACCCAGAGAAAAAATTTATTTGAATCAACCGTTATTTATTTGAGTTAAATAAAAGTAAATTTATCTCAGAGTCTATACAAAATTATTTATTTGTTTTAAATTCTAAGTTTAGTTGGCTCTGATTTAAATGATGTCTTTTTTCTAGGTGTAAAGTTATTAACTAAATAACTGAAATAAATTTAAATAAATAAAAAACGAACGAATTCGTACAATAATTTAAAATAATTCTTGTATAAATTAACATTATGTAACTTGTAAATTGTAAATTTCTACAGAATTTTGTTTCTTCAATATTATTAAAAAATACTAAAATGATAATAAAATTCTACAATAGTAAAGTTTTTAATTGTTCCAAGAAACAATTTTCAACAACTTCAATGACAGTAATGTGTATATGTATAACATTGAAAAAAGAGAATCTTGTTTCTTCACAGTTTTGTGCTATCCACGGAACATGACTGTCAAGAAAATACAAGCACTGGGAGGAACTTATTGGAAGTGTTGGTTTCCCGGAATGTCCCACTATGAAGAAGAAAATTCGAACTCAAGAATACAAAAAAAATCCCAAACAATAAGATGACAGTAATTTGTCAAAGAAGGTATTTTAAATAACAAATTTCCTTAAAAATTATACTTAGAAAAAGAAATTCTATTTTAAAGTCGAGGAAAATTCTTACACTCAAAAAAACTACATTTCCTTAGTTATTTATTTACTAATAAACTGTTATTTTTTAATAATAACGCACAGGTTTAAACATTCGGTTCAACTTTTGGCCCAAAAAAGACAAACGCTTTTTACCGTGTTTTTTTTAACGCTGAATTCCAATTCATTGATAGATTTTTCATGGCACATCAAATTTTTAAATGGCGGATTCAATATGGCGGATGATAAAATTGAAAAAATTAACCGGATTTGCTTAATTGTGAAATTTATTATTCGTGGGTTTTTAGGGTTATTTTTAAATATTAAAATTATATTCATAACCAGAAACCCTGCAAAAACCCCAAGTAACATGTTTCAGGCAAATCCGATTGATTTTTAACTCTGATTTTACTGACAGTTTGTTATTTTTAACTAAATCCGATTAGAGAAATTATATTTTATTATTTATATCGTCTTGTATCTTTATTTTAATCATTAATAAAAATAAAAATAAATATATAAAAATATATAAAAATATATAAAAATAAAAATAAAATGTTCTGAAGAAAGGTATACCTAAGAAGCAAAAAATTTTAGGTGATGTTTGTAATTTTATGAATAAAAATGCACAAAGGAGATTAACTCTCAATATAAACTACTGATGTTAAAGTCTTCATTAGATCAAAAAGAATGAATTAAAATTAAAATAATTTTAATTCATTATTTTTGATCTATAATGAAGACTTTAACTTAGACACAAACTTTTAATTAAAGTAAAAACAACAACATAACCCTAAATAAAAAGTGAAGAAAGGTCACTAGAAAATTATCCGACTTATTTTTTACCTACAATAATAATAAAATTTTTCTCAATTCCAGGCATTCTAATTTCAACTCATTACATCAATTAGACAGGAGGAATTTCCAGCTAATGAAGAAGAATAAAAATGAAAAACATTTAACATATAAAAAGACAGAGAAAAGAAAGAAAAAGATGACAATCTAAAAAGTGATACATCTAAAAATATAGACTGAAACTGCAGTAGTATCACGCCAGAACTAAACGAATTAGAGAGGGTGGAAACGTCGCTTTAATGCTTGAGTGTACATTTACAAAGGACAGACTTTTTTTTAACTGGTTCAATTAAAGTCAGTTAAATTCTAAAATTTTATAGGTGGCTTAAGAAGATAAAATATTAATATCTCTCAAATAAAAGGTGGACTTACAGACTTACAATGTCCGTAAAACGTAAACACGTCACTGCATTGGAACGCTAACTTCTCTCTATTTATCTCTCTCTCTCACACACACACATCGCATCGCCACAAGATAAACATCTTAGGACCAAACTCTGAAGCCATCCTGTACCACCGACTAGCTTAACTTCCTATGATTTCTGGATAAGTGTGTATGTGTGAATGCGCATTTATAGGTGTCTAGTGCACACACACAATGCAGAGAAACTGCTTTGTGGCTTTGTACGTTTCACCGAAACAATAGACATCGTGAGGTCACGAGGGGTGTGTTTATGACACCCGTTAGATAAACAGGCTTTGATACACTCCCGAAATAATCTCCTATTAATCTGTATAATAATGTTCTGGTCAGCTAGATTGCATTGTCTTGTCATTAATCGACTAAATGTTGCAAACAAAATCAAAGAATAATGTTTATATTAACTTTCTAAAACTGTTGTATTGGCTGTTTCATGTTTGTCACATTTTTGGAAGCAGAGGCCATTAAAACCGCAAAAGAAAGAAAAAACTCTCTAAAACTGAATTAAGTGGAAGTTGAACCTCTAATTTACGTTAGTAAAAATATTAACTACAGTGAGAAAAAAAACTATTGATTCAATAGCACCAATGATATTTTCAATTTTTTTTTAAGGAATAATTTCTGAATGGAATTGAGTTGGATATTAAAATAGAATTATTCATAATTTACAACTAGAAACATAATGTTGTCTAGCGAATTATTTGAAGTGGTTGCGAAGTAGGGTTGATACAATTTTACTAAAAAAAATATGAATTAGTTTGAAATAAGTCCTGCAATTATTTTAAATAACATATTAAATATATAAATAGTATTTACAGTTTGTATGGATGTATATTTTAGACGATGGAATATGTTTTTGAATCAATAGCACGTGCTTTCGTTATTATAAATTATTATTATATGCGAATGCAATTATATATGGATATTACATAATATGGAAATTATATATGAATGGGTTATTATAAACCCAATTGTCTTGACAATTTTTTTTGGAGTAGAATATCAAATTTGAGCTTTTCTTTATCAAATTGGAGATTTTTCTATTAAATAAGAGCTTTTTCCGAAACACAAATGTACTCATATCTTTTTAAGAATTTATTTCCGATTAAGAAAAAATTTGTATCTTGAAAAACAAAGATGGTCTTGACAATTTTTTTACAATTTTTTGAGTCAAATATCAAATTTGCGCTTTTCTTCATCAATTTGGAGCTTTTTTGAAACACGGAGGTACACAGAACTTTTTTAGAATTTATTTCCGATTCAGAAAAAATTTTATGTCTTGAAAAACGACGATGGTCCCCACATCAAAAATTGCAACAAAGCTTATTATTAGACACTATTCATAATAGAAATGTTAAAGTAATATTAAAATAAAAAACTTGCAGAATTTCCATGGAATATCCACGGAAACTTGCGTAGAGTTCCATGGAAATTTGCAACGCTTAATTAATAGCATATTAATCCAACAGTATTTGTATTTATGTTATTTGTATTGTATGTTAGTGAAAATGTTTACTAACAGTTTTTCTAACCCGGTGAGCGTAAGGTTGAATTTGTAACACCGAGCGTAAGGTAGTGTATTTTTTACCCTGTAGTGATTTTCTATTTGTATATTAAAAAAACCTTGAAATCATGAAAATTTTTTTCTATAATTGTTTTATGTTGCCTAGTAATCTAATTTATTAATGTTCCGATAAATTTTTCATTTATTTAAACAATTTATTATTGCTAATTTATAACAATTCCAAAAACAAAATAGAGAAAAAAATAAGTAAAATGAAATATTAAATTAAATTTGCTATAGTTATTATTTAACATTGTTTAAACAATTAATTGTTGTTATTTATTAGTTTTTTTTCCATTGCACCTAGAAAGATGCAGTTTTTTTCTAATTTTGCAACTTTCGGACCTATACTTATGATAACCAATAAATCTTAAATGTCAAATCACTATTTTAACAATTGTTTAAATTTAAATTTGTTGTTATTTATTAACTTTTTTCCTATTGTCCCTAAAAAGATGCAGTTTTTTCGAATTTTGCCATTTTTCGACCCACTTATACACTGTTAGAAAAGAATTGAAAATTCAACAACTTTTCAATTACATTAGTTATTGAATTTGAATTCAATTCAGTTTGTATTGAAAATTAAAGAACTTGAAGTGAATATTCATTGGTTCGTAATTGAAAAAACAGACGCAGTTATTGAAAATTCATTACTGTTATTGAAAAAATGAAAATCCATTAGTTTGTAATTGAAAAATACATTCACAGTTATTGAAAATTCAATACTGTTATTGAAAATTCGTTACTGTTATTGAAAATTCAATACTGTTATTGAAAATTCAATACTGGTATTGAAAATTCAATACTGGTATTGAAAATTCATTACTATTATTGAAAATTCAATACTGTTATTCGAAATTCATTACTGTTATTGAAAATTCAATATTATTGAAATGTCATTACTGTTATTGAAAATTGAATAATGTTATTCAATATTCATTACTGCTGTTGAAAATTCAATACTATTATTGAAAATTCATTACTCTTATTGAAAAATCAATACTGTTATTAAAAATTCAATATTATTAAAAAGTCATTACTTTGTTGTTGAAAATTTAAAACTCTTACTAAAAATAAAAAATTCAAATTTCTTGTTGAAAATTTCAGTATATATTTTAAGTATACAAAAATTATTTTTTAATCTTTTTTTTAGAAGTAGAAATAATTCTTACAAATAACGGTTTCTTATAATTATTATTAATAGGTATTGCTATAAATAATTGAATATTGTAAAATATTTACGAAATTTTTCCGAAAATATGTTTGCTTTCTAAAAAAGATTTTGTAACAAAAGATGAAAATGTTGGAAGTTTTTTTTCTTTTTCAAAGGTTTGCCACATCTGGTTTGTCTTAGGATGACCGTTCGTGAGGGGTTCTTATTGCAAAGAGCCTGTTTTATGACTTTTTCACGAACCGTTTTTTTTCGTATGGATTTATTGGAACCGAAAGTTTGTCAAATTTCTCAAATTGTAGAATATAGTAAAAATATTCGAAAAGTGAATATATTTTCTGACAAATTTTTTCCCCGAATCTTTTGAAGCGTCAGTTGCTCTTGAGCATTTGCTGGAGAAATACCAAATCTGCGTTTGATGAAACAATTTTTAAGTGAAAATATTGTGAAGTGCTGGATTTAAAAGCAGATAATATTTTTGGATTATTTTAAAGGATTTCAAAAAGGTAATTAATATTCAAAATTCTATAAAATTTTAATCAATTAAATGGTGTTTAGTCATTTTTGACGGTTTTTTTAATTTGAAGTTTTATTGATTAGTGCATAACCCACGCTTCGATATAAACAAAAAATTAATGAAAAAATTATTTTATTTATTTAATATTTTGATGTTTTCTTTTGTCATGTATTATTGGGTGAGGTGGCCATTAATGATTTTATTTTAAATTTGTTATGTTAATGTTATATAATTAAGAACTATGAAAGAAAAACAAATTATAAATGTCTAAGAACAAAATAATTTTTCTAATTGACACCAGAGATGGAGATATATTTGTAGGTTAACTCAGAAGACGATTTATTTAATTCAATCATATTTTGTTTAAATGAAACTTAAAAAATCTTTGCCATACAGACAAACATATGTAAGTTTGATTGAAAAATATTTTTTTTGGTTAATTTAAAGAAATAATATATTTAATTCAAACATAAGTTATGGTTGATTTTAAATTATTTATAATCAACTTTCAACTTTGAATGAAACATAACATTTTTAAACGTAACTTTTATTTAATTCAAAACTGAAAATAGGTTTGAATTAAATATAATTATTCAAACAAATAATATTTTTGAATCAAAGCAGTAGATATTTTCTCCATATTGGGATTAAACTTAAAAACTAATTGCAATTAAACGAAATCACTTATAATTATTTGTCTACCAGACAAATTATCCGCGCGCAGGAATTTTGTGTTGCACTGTTGTCAACAATTTCAAGTCATTTCAATTTAAGTAATTTTTAAAGAAATACTTATGACACATAACTGAAAAATTAATTAGAATTGAATTTTCAATTTATATTACATTTTTAAACTTTAAAGTATATAAAAAAAACTTTAACGAATTTTGATACTAATTTAAAATTTGATTTCTTCATTACGAAAATTTTAATTATTCTGAAGAATAGAGAAGGTGAAAAAATTATTACATATTCAAATTTCTGAACAAAGAATATAAATAATATTATTTTTAGAGAATTTTCACTACTTTTTTTAATTCGCTAATTTTCAAGAAAGTTTCGAAAAAATTAATTATTTACCAAAGTTTTATGCAATTTACTTTTTACAATAATTCAATTACGAACACTAATAATAAAATTATTTTCATTAATTATAAAACTCATCAAAGAATTTAAATTATTTTTATTACTATTTTAAATTAATAATCGAAAAATTCAGTTATTTTCACAAATAAAGTTTTCCACAAGAATTCAATTATTTAAGCTAATAAAATTTTCATTATATTTATTATATTTCGAAAAAATTAATTATTTAAAACAATGTTCATAAAATTCTTCTGAAGAATTCAATTATTTTCAAAAATAATAAAAATTTTCACAAAAATTCAATTCTTTTTAAACATTTTAATAAACTTCTCCGCAATAATTCAATTATTTTCAAAAATAATAAAATTCTTCTCTGTAATTCAATTATTTTTGGGAATTATAATAAAATTCCTAGCAACTGTTCAATTATTTTCGTTAAAATAATACAATTCATCGAAGGATTTCAATTATTTTTAATACAATTTTACAGGAATTGCTCAAAAAATGTAATGATTCTTAAAAACTTAATTTCAATACCTCGAGAAAGTCAAATTATTTAAAAAAAAGTTCTTTTCATATTTTTTGGAATGATTGAATAATTATTTTCAAGAAATTAATAAAATTGTTCGACATAAATTAATTGTTTTAAATACAATTTTAATTAAACTTTTTTGAAATAATTAAATTATTTTTTAAAATTTCGTTTCAGATTCATGCTAAAAATAAATCCAAAGGAAGAAGGAGACAAAAGAGCTGCTGGAGCTAAAAGAAGATTAACAAACTTTGAGATGTCAGTCAAAAAATTAGGCGATGAACTGAACAATTTTACAAATAAGTTTAGGGTGTAGTTCAAATGTAGTTAAAATGCAATAATAAACGATATACATTATAAGTTATATATGCATTTTAGTTTTAAATTATTTCTACCTGAACTTTCAATTAAGTATTAATTGTTTAGTTAAACTTTAATAAATTTTCAAATCTGGTTATTTAATTTTCATATTAATATTATTGAATGTTGAACTCTATGTTATTAAATTTCCAATTAAATGCTATTGCATTTTCAATTCTACGTTATTCAATTTTCATATTAATATTATTGAATTTTCAATTATCTGTTACTTAATTTTCATATAAATGTTATTGAATTTTCAATTCTATTATATTATTGAATTTCCAATTCTATATTACTGAATTTTCAATTCTATGTTACTGAATTACCAATTCAATGTTATTGAATTCTCAATTTCATGTTATTGAATTTTCAATTCCATATTATTCAATTTTCAATGCAATGTTATTCAATTTTCAACTTCGTGTTATGGAATTTTCAATTTCATGTTGTTGAAATTTCAATTCCATGTTATTGAATTTTCAGTTCCATGTTATTGAATTTTCAACTTCGTGTTATTGAATTTTCAATTCCATGTAATTGTATTTTCAGTTCCTTGTTATTGAAATTTCAATTCCATGTTATTGAATTTTCAATTACAGTTGCTATTGAATATTCAACTCAATGTTATTGAATATTCAATTACACGTATTGATATGGACTTCACTTACATGTTATTGAAAATTCATATACATATTTCTAACAGTGTAACGGATAAATATAAAATGTCAAATCGCTATTTTAGCAACTGTTTAAACAAATAATATTGTTGTTATTTATTAACTTTTTTTCTATTACACCCAGAAAGACGCATTTTTTTCTAATTTTGGAATTTATTAAAAATAATCTAATAAACAAGAATACTTTAAAAAAATAGTATCCTAAATTAAGACATTCGTTCTAAGGTCTAAGAAGAATATCTTATTTTGTAGTAGACTTTTAAGAATAACTATATATTTTGATTAAGAGTTTATATTACACTTAAAGAAGAAGAAGAGTCCTAATTTTATACGCTTAGTAAATTTACACTAAATTTTGACTCTATTTAGTCAAACTATTAAGAGTCCTCAAAGATTCGTTTAGTTCCGGAACATTATTTACTCGGAATATAATACAAATACCGGTGGTACAAATGAACGGAATTAAGGGTCTTTTAGAAGTACGTACATGTCGAATAGAATGGCAAGGGTAGATAACTTTTTTTGGAGGGGATCTTTTTTTTGAGGGTGGAGTTGTGTGGAGAGTTGTCGAAGAAAACATGTGAGGGGTGATCTTTGATTGGTGTGGGAAGATTCAATGCCACTTAAAGCATTACCCTTGCTGGCTATGAATTTTCCATCTGAGAAATTATCTATTATTATTTTTATTCATAAAATTTACTCAAATTGTTACACTTGAAGAGAAATTTTTCCAATTAACGCAGACTTTTTTTGTTTGAAAAACACATTTTTTGGACAATTTTACCAAAAGAAAATTAATAGATATCCATAATATAGAACCTTGTTTAAATATTTTTTGTTTTCTAGTTCTCGGTATCATTGATTACGAATCTAAAAACATTTTGTCAAAATTCAAAATGGCGGATCCAAAATGGCTGACTATGGGATTAAAAATTAACCCGATTAACTTGAAACTTAGTTACTTAAGGGTTCGCTTAAAACTAATTTTTCGAGGGATTTTCGGAGTCGCTGATTACAAATTTTACAACAGTTTTTAAAAATTTTAAATGGCGGATGCAATATAATCAACACATTCTGGGGTTTGAAATTTTTTTAATTTCATAAATTAAAAAATGTAAATTAGTTTATAACAACAATAATCCATATTTCAATAATTATTATATTGAGTCCACCATTTTTAATTTTTAAAAACTGATGTCAAATTGGTAATCAGTACCATCAAAAACCCCCCGAGTTTTTGTAAAAGCTTAATTTAAAAAACCTTGACACTTTTCTCAAAACCTTGAAAATCTCGTAAAAATGCTTTGAATTTAATTTCTAAAATTTTAGTGGCCATTCTGAACAGTAATTTTTCTATTATCATTTACTAGTTTTTGCGACTAAAAATTTGTCTGTTGGTTCGCTTTTAAAACGCATAGAGGCCTCGGATTGAATTCAGAAATAAAAAATAGTATCAAAACAATGACATTTTTTTAATTATAAAAATGTTTTTGAGGGATAAAATGCCGGTTTAATTTCTCCACTTGAGAACGCCCAGGTCACCACTAGGTGGCGAGGAATCCAGCCATCTAGCGGTGACCTTGGCGTTCGCAGGTGGAGAGTAGCACCTCCATATTGAATCTCAAGATGTTCCTAATTCTACAATTATTTTTAATGAAATTTGGAGAGTTTGACAATTAATATAAACGGATTTTCAATTTTTAATTTACCATAATTTGCAATATTTTTATGGTCTCCATATTTTTTAGTTTTAGAATTAATTTCTTTACTAAATAAATTGATATTCAAAAGAATATCAATAGTAGTGTGGATTCGAAGCCTGCGCATATAATAGAAATGTATAAAAATGAATGAAGAATATATACATGTATACAGTTTGTTGAGAAGACTCATCGGGATTCGATATTGCTCGCGGGGCACTCAAGGTGCTCTCTGACAGTATTCACACGACATACTTGAAGTCTGAGTGTATAACGCGAATGAAATGTTTATGGGGCTCTCTATATACATATATAGACTGGTAGCGTATTGCTCGACACTGCAGGGGGTATGTATATGCGCGCACCCGTACCCCCATGCTGTCAATGGAGTAGGTCCTTGTACGAAATCGCTTATATACATATCCATGGGAAACGCTTAAATATTGGTTTATTTGGGCATACGAAGATACATTTGTTCCAATGACAATAGAATATGTGGCGCACTTCACTCGTCAGCGAGATAATGATTTATTGTTTCTTTTCTTTTTGCGCTTTTTTCAAATTTATCTCTTCATATTTTTATTTATGAATTTTTCCTTAGAAAGAATTTTGAAATTTCTATTTTTAAGTTCTGTGTGCGTATTTTTTAAATATAGAAAAAATCAACAAACTTTGTAAATGAATTAGAATTATTTTTTTATGGGTATTTAATAATGGAATATTGTCGAATTTTGTTATTTGGAGCATAACGAAATTGAAAGTTAATGGTTAATGAAATTATACAATTTGAAAAGATAACATTTTAAAGGATGAGTGTTAAAAGCCATTATAGATAAAATCGCCCTAAATCTTAGGGGAATATTGTAAAGTTAGACACGTGACCACCAGTTTTTGACACGTGATCACATCCACCAGGTGGTCGTCGTGGTCACGCATGTAATTTCGATAAGAGATAGAGGTAAAAGTACTCACCTAGTGAAATTTCTTACTGCAAGTTCATCCATCGTGTTCTGCAAAGGAAAAAAGGACAACTTTAGATTCATTATGTCAATATTTTTATTCTAGAGAATTTAAATTCAGAAAAAATTTAGTTTATTAATTTTACAATTATACATAACAATAATAATTCATGATACACTCTAAATCTGAATCAGTAAAAATTTCACTGACAATCAGTGGTTTTTACTGATTCTCAGTTAAATTCCACTGATGAATTTGTGAATTGAAATCAGTAAAATTTTCACTGATTCAGATTTAGAGTATGATATATAATTTATAATAATTTATAATAATTTGTAACAATTTAATTTAATTTATAATAAATTGCGATAATGATAATTTAAAGTGATTTTTAATAATGTAATTTATAACAATAATGAATGTTGAGAAATTATCAATCTTATTTGTACCATTAATTTTAATTCTCTAAATTGAACCATAGACAAAATTTAGCAAATCGGAAACCGGATTTAGAAAATGTTAGTTATTAGTTCAAAAAAGTAATTTACACTAAGAAAAAAAATTTGTTTCTATTTATTTAGTTGATTCAAGCAAAATTTGATTTTTTGAAATAAACGTTTTTCAAAAATCACATGCTTCTCCATCAGTGGTACAAATTCAGAATAAAGAAAGAATGATTCGACTGTTTTTGATCACAATAAAATAGTAACTTCTGGGATATTATTGAATTCGCGCAAAAATCGTGAGAGATTTGAGAAAGATTTCCTCTTTTTTTTCATGGGAATCTGTACGCTAATCGCGTATGACCTATGTGGGCGGTTTGACGGGCCAATAAGGCATGACATGACCGATCAGTTTACCATTTACCGGTATTATTTTCCACTATATATCCAAACCTATCTTCCTATCTTTTCCGCAGAGTTCACACGAGTCAGAGGCAGAGAATGCATTAGGGGTGACGTTACATAATAGGGGATGATTACCGTTTGACAAGCCTTTTATAATAGTTTTAATTCATCAGCGATAGGGTTTTCTTGTACAAAAGTTTCTTTACACGCGCAATATTATGCGATAAAAAAACAAACTTTATAATATAATTATGGGACCGGGAAATTTAATCTCCATTGCCTACACTTTAAAAGAGAAAAAAAATGACTATCTAAATATTTTCGTTTAATTTGTTCTTAATTACGAAAAGATATACACATATATTTATATTGTTATCTTTTTATTATATTGTTTGTCTATTGTATTATTATCTTTTCTTCTATATTCCTATCCTCTAAATCTGAATTGGTCACATTTGACTATTGAATTGTAGGATCGATTCGTTAATTAAATGCTAATTATTAAGCGTTTTGACTAATTCTTAGTGAAAAACTAATAATTCATTTATTAAATGACTTCATATTCGTAATCAGCGACCCTAAAAACCCCCCGAGAAACAAGTTTCAAGCAAATCCGAGTGATTTTTATCTTCTTCAGTCGCCATGTTGAATCCGCCATTTTAAATTTTTAAAAACAAACATCGGATTCGTAATGAACAATACCGAAAACATTTAAACGAGTTTATGACTTTTTTCTAAGTAATATAGTTTGATTCGCAGTAATAATTGTTTAAAGCAATAAAAGAATGAAATTGCAATTATCTGAAAAACCTGATGTGTAGTAAAAAAAAACTGATGGTGGATTCGAATTTAGGGTTAAAATTTACAGTAAATTTGACTGAAAAGCAAAAAGTCAATTATTGATTCTGACAAATTTAAAACCAGTTTCGCCAACTTTGATTGAAAATTAATCAATGATTAGTCATTTTGTTAAATTTTAGCAAAACAACTACTAATTAATTTGGGATCGTTTATAAATGATGTCACGTTTTTGGGGGTTGGAGGCGGGTCTCTACTAAACGTGACACAATGTATTTCCTGAAATGCGTAGAAATTAGTAGTAAAAGTTACTCTACTTTTTTTTCTATAGACTTGAATTAATTTACCAATTATTTAAATTTTTGGTACTGAATTTGTTACAAATTAGTTTCAATTTGTAACTTTGAAAAGTTACAAAAATTGAAATCGGTAAATTATAATTCATTTCTGCACGAAGGAAGGTAAAAATAAGTAACTTTTACTATATACTTCCAAAAAATATTTAAATTGTCAGGAATTCTGTACATTTTCAAAAATTTCTATTTTCGGATATATAGTGACCAAAAACTTGAAAGTAATTAAATTTTACCATTTCCAAAGTAAATTTTAGTAAGAATCAGTAAAATGCACTACGAACGTATAGCAAAATTGACTACGAAAATAGTAAAAGTTGTCAAATTTAATTTCATTTTTTGTCTCAATTTGATATTCTTAGAAAAACTGTAAACTTAAAAAGAACAGAAAAATAATAGGAATAATAAAAATAGCAATTGTGAAATAAGTTCAGAATAATAAAAATTAATTGACAAATTATCCCTATGGGAATTTAATTGAATTCTCTCATCTCATTATTAGAATATCAAAATACACAACCGACGTTGGCATATGCCTCTCTATATGTAATCCTGATCAGCACCCATATTGAGTTACGTATATTCAATAGAAACTTTTATCCTTTCTGGCAGATAATAATTTATTTAATAGACTTCCAGAAGGACTTGAATGATCTGGACCATGTTGTTATTTCAATCGGGCGTGTGCCGAAATAGAATGAGTTGCAGAAAAAGGTACAAAAACCACTATATATAGAGGTTCTTGTAAAGATTGCGATACACGAGTGTATGTGTGACTTCGCAGAAAAAGTATTCTTTCCCACTTTTCTATACAACACACATATCCCAAAACATTTCTTTTCATTTATAAATAATCCGAATCGACACCTCGATCGATCTACATACCGCTTTGTCAAAAATTCAGAACTCAACTTTTTTTCCAAATTCTCCTAACAATATTATTTGAACTAAAAGTGATTTTTTTTTCTATGTGTATGTGAATTCTTTTTAAATCGAAAATGCACATTTAGAGAGTGGGAGGACGTGATTCTTCGATGTCAATCTTTCGTTTTGCTATTTGACAATTTTCCGTTATCGAACTAATGGTTGATTGGTTGGATTTGTGGAAAATTTCCTCTTTTTTTGAGGGAAGAAGGTTCACGACCCTTGAATCGGATTTCCGTGTGTGTCGTTCTTTTGTGGTAAAAGAGAAGGCGCGCGCGTGCTACAAACTTTGGAAATCTGCCCGATCCATCACGTAGCGCTTGTTAAGGGTCTATTGTCAATTCATAGTCGGCAATGTTGCGGTCGAATGTCTTTTCGAATGTCCCGGAGAAAATGCAAAATGTGCTTTGATTGTTCGTGATCACAATATAACCCTTCACATTTATTTGTTGAAAAAGACGATAGCATTTAAAAATTGACAGGAGAAAATGTCTCGTTCCAAAAGAAGAGAGAAGGAGAAAAGAAAGATCGAAATCGATATATATATATGAATGCTACCTAAAGGAGTGTCTTCTGGAAAATTTATTTTTCTTTGAAAATAATTTTCATTTAGACACCACAATTAAATAGTCACGAAATTATACTTTGAGTTTATTTATTTGTCTACTTAATTCTAATATTTTTAATCCAGTCGGAAATGAAATGAAATGATTGTTTTTACCAGAATATTCATAATCTTTTTATTTACTATAATTATTAGAGGCTACAATTTCATTGAGTCTTTTACTGACACATATTTTCCAAGGATATCAAATTAAGTCAAAAAACGAATCAAAAGTGTTGCAAAGCATAATGTTTTGATTCGTTTTTTATATTAATTTGATATCCAGGCTTCACACTCAACAATTAATTTTTAAAAAGTATCAAAAAGTAGCTATAATACTAATAAACGAGCAGAAAAGAAGCTACCGAAAATTAATTTTAACGAATAAAAAAAATTGTTTTAGTTGATTGACAAAAATTTAATTCAGTATTTCCCTGACTGTTTTCTGATTTCAATCAAAAATATTTATTTTTATTCTAATCCTGCTGAGCACTTTAATTCTAAATTTTTGAAAAATTCAATTATTTACCAAATTTTTATCCTGAAAAATATAATTGCATTTAAAAGTAATTTTTAAAAGTAAACAAATCAAATTATTTAATAAAATTTAACTGAAATTGTTCACAGGAATTAAGAAAATAAATTAATAATTTTTCAAAGTAAAAATTTAAATGTTATTACAGTTTCTCAACAATTAAATTTTTCAACGATTTCAATTTAATAATCTTTTTAAATTTAGTTTTTTCTAAAAAAATTGTAATGTAACTCTTTTAATATTCAATTATTATCTAAAATTACAAATGAAATTCGTTTTTAAATCAATTCTTATTAGAAAGTTCAGCTGAAATTCAACTATTTAAATACAAAAATAAATAATATATTGAATAATTGAATGTTTCTCAAAATGTATAATTCTTATAAAGAATTTATCAATTTTTTAAATAATAATTCAATTTCTGAAAAGAATTTTATTACTTATGAAAATAATTTAATTTTTAAGAAGATATTTATTGAATTTTTTTTTAAATAATTGAAATCACGTGAAAAATTTTAGTATTTGGGAAAATAATTGAATTCTTGAGAAGAATTTTATTTAATTCTTATTAAATAATTAAATTCCCGTGAAAAATTTTATTATTTGGGAAAATAATTGAACGAATTCAAGAATTTCTTGTTTGTTTACCTGCTATATTACTATTTTATTTTAAATATTTATATCTTTAATTTTCAGAGTTTTATATTCTTGAAAAGGCCTCACTTCGTAGAGGCAAAAGCTAGATATATTCAATAATTATATTGATCAGTTCATTGACAATCAATAAATCTCTTTTTAAAAATAATAATTGAAATTCTGAGAAGAATTTTATTATTTATGAAAATAATTGAATTTTTTCGGAGAATTTTATTTAATTTTTTCTTAAATAATTGAATTGTCGTAAAAAATTTTCTTATTTGGGATTTTAATAGAATTCTTGTGAAGAATTTTATTAAAATTTTTAAAAGTAGGTTTTTGAATTCTTGAG